AATAAACTCATTTTTAGACATTTGTTACCGCATGTGGAATTTAATAAACGCATTCCGAATAAGATGAATCGCGGTGGGCGTGGTTAGTATGTAACGTGACCTGGTGGAGATATACGGAGGTCAAAGGATCGCCCCACACCAGGGTGATATTTCAGTTATAGGCGGAGTCTCTCTGCCAGCACTGGGAGGAGCCAGCGGCTGCATTTTCTCCATTCGTTTATGCCTCACTGCTGTTGGAGCTCCACCCTAGTGTCTTTGGGGACCCTTAAAAGTTGCAATCGGGGGGCCCGGTGCTGCAGTGCATCATGGGACGGGGGGAGAGGGGTCCATGGGAGGGCTCTGGTGCAAAGATGGCAGTGTAGTTATCTTATTGATGTGATCATTTTAAGCCCCACCCACTATACGACTACTCAAAAGGGGAATGAGGTGATCAATTTAAGCCCCACCCACTTTGTGACAGCTCAGAGGGGTAATGATGTAATCACTTTAAGCCCCATCTACTTTGTGACAGCTCAGAGGGGTAATGATGTGATCACTTTAAGCCCCACCCACTTTGTGACAGCTCAGAGGGGTAATTATGTAATCACTCTAAGCCCCACCCACTATACGACTACTCAAAGGGGTAATGAGGCGATCACTTTAAGCCCCACCCGCTAACGACTACTCAAGGGGTAATGTGATCACTTTAAGACCCACCCACTTAGTGTTCACATGGTTTCCCCTCTGAGCAGTCACAAGGTGGGTGGGGCTTAATGTGATTGGCTGATCTGTTACTTCCTGCCTATGCGTATCAGCTGATTTCCTGGTTCTGCGTTCCAGGCCTCAGTAAGGATCCCCGAGGGCAGTTTGTGGGTAGGAAGAGAGGGCGGGGCTTTACTGCTGCACTGCACCTCCCATAATGCACAGCATGCTGACTGTGTGGCAGGTTTTTGGGGGTGTTCTGTGTCTGAGAGACCCCAGTGTTGATCGGTGACCTTACTGGCTTTATTGTATGGAGGGTATCAGGAGCAAAGTGCAATCACCCATAGCAACCAAGGATAAAAACAGTTATCTATAGCAACCAAGGACAAGAACAGTAACCTATAGCAACCAAGGACAAGAACAGTAACCTATAGCAACCAAACCTATGTGCAGTAGCCCATAGAAAGCAAAGATAAGTGTGGTAGGCCCATAGCAACCAAAAGCTAAGCACAGTAACCCATAGCAACCAAGGACAGGTGCAGTGAACCCTTTAGCAACCAAATGTAAGAGCAATAACCCGCAGCAATCAGGAATAGGAGCTGTTAAGCCTAGCAACCAATCCATTTTGTACCTGCCTGATTGGTTGCTCTGGATCGAATCACTTACCAATCGGCACTGTGCCCCTCCCACCATTGGTGCAGGCTTTGGACAAGGCTCCCCACCCCCCATGGCACGCCATGATGTAGAGCTGGGCGGGGAACACAGGAAGGTCCTCCTCACTCTTCTCCCTCAGAGGTCTCCAGTCATTGCCATCCTTGTCCCATCCACACAATATAGAAGGTGGCGGCAGATATTGGAGAACGTTCACTGGTGATGGCCATGTATGGGGGGCCCCCCATGACCCCGCTCCCCCAAGCCAAGCCCAGCCTGGGAACATCTGATCAACCAGGGATGTCCATCACTGAACTTCCCCAAATATATCCCGAGTCCCCGTCTCTCCACAGGACCTACCAGCATGTTGTGTCACCGGATACAGACTTCCACGTTTGAGGGACCTTCCATTTGGAGGAGCTTCCTACGGCTGAGACATGTATGGGGCCCATCTGATATCTACAGGCAGATAGAACATCCCCTGCACCCCCAGAACTTCCATCCTATCATGCCTCATTCCCCCTCCCTCCATAGGCACTGCCATGTTGGGTCACCCAATGCAGACCTCTAGGTTTGAAGGACCTTCTACTTGTAGAACCTTCCTGTGTCTGAGACGTGTATGGGCCCCATCTGATATCTACCGGCATCTCGCCATGCCTCCTACCCAGTCCCTTCCCTCCATAGGTACCAACATGTTGGGTCACCCAATGTAGACTTCCATGTTTGAAGGAACCTCTATTCGGAGGAGCTTTCTACAAGTGAGAAGTCTTTGGGCCCCATCCGATATCTCCGTGCAGATAGAACATCCCTTGTACCCTCAATACATTCATCCTTGTATGCCTCCTGCCTCAGTCCCCCCTCCCTCCATAGGCACTGCCGTGTTGGGTCACCCGATGCAGACTTCAAGGTTTGAAGGACCTTCTACTTGTAGGACCTTCCTGTGCCTGAGATGTGTATGGGCCCCATCTGATATCTACAGGCAGATAGAACATCCCCTACATTTGGAGGACCTGATACCTACAGGCAGACAGAACACCCCCAATACTTCCATCTCAAGGTGCTTACTGAGTTGCTGATAACCCAATAGGATGCACCTCGGAAACCACCC